GGGCTACGCCCCCTGCCGCCGACCCCAGGCAGGGTAGCTTGGGGCGGCGAGCGGGGGGCGGTAAACTGCTAAATACTTGTCTAGATGATTTACCTTGTTCTGTTTTTTCTATCCAATCTTTTGGAGATCCCTAAATTTATATAATTTGCCGCCTGTGACGCGTCTCCCTGAAGCACTGGCCAGACTCAACCTGAGGCACCAGGGCCAAGTGGCCAAGAATAGAGACTTCACAAAGGTTATTTGGAAACAAACGTGTGAAGTTTTGAAGATGTGCATATGCATATTACATATATATATATATACAGTCTATGTATATGTATATATATATATCCATATATATCCATATAAATATATCCATATATACAAGATATAATATACATAATTATATACATGTGTATCTATGGGTATTTACACTATTCCTGTACTTTTGCACCTACAAGAAGAGTAACTCTCTTAGCTGTCTTCCAGCCGCCAAGGCTCAAACACGGCGCGCTCGCCACACCGAAACAGCAGGGCCCTGAGGGACGGACCGGGCCTGCGGGCCACGGCCCCTACTGCCTAACGTTGCTTTCTGAACCTACAAGAAAGCTAGCTGTCTGACCTGTCTTCCAGCCGCCAATGCTCACACACGGCGCGATTGCCACGCCAAAAAACAGCATGCTGGGTCCTGAGGGACGGACCTGGCCTGCGGGCCACGGCCGCCACGACCTGTCTTCCAGCCGCCAAGGCTCACACAGGGCGCGCTCGCCACACCGAAACAGTAGGGCCCCGAGGGACGGACGGGGCCTGCGGGCCACGGCTCCCACTGCCTAACGTTGCTTTCTGAACCTACAAGAAAGGCTCGTGTCTGACTGTTGCTTCCAGCCGCCAAAGCTCAACCCACGGCGCGATTTGCCACGCCAAAACAAACAGGATCCCGAGGGACGGGCCCGGGCCTGCGGGCCCACGGCCGACACGACCTGTCTTCCAGCCGCCAAGGCTCACACAGGGCGCGCTCGCCACACCGAAACAGCAGAGCCCCGAGGGTTGGACGGGGCCTGCGGGCCACGGCCCCCACTGCCTAACGTTGCTTTCTGAACCTACAAGAAAAGTAGCTGTCTGACCTAAAACGGCGCCTCCGCCACAGCCAAACAGCAAGGCCCTGAGGAAAGACCGGGCCTACGGGCCACGGCCCCCAGTGCCGAACGTTGCTTTCTGCACCTACAAGAAGAGTAACTCTCTTAGCTGTCTTCCAGCCGCCAAGGCTCAAACACGGCGCGCTCGCCACACCGAAACAGCAGGGCCCTGAGGGACGGACCGGGCCTGCGGGCCACGGCCCCCACTGCCTAACGTTGCTTTCTGAACCTACAAGAAAGCTAGCTGTCTGACCTGTCTTCCAGCCGCCAAAGCTCACACACGGCGCAATTGCCACGCCAAAACAACAGGATCCCGAGGGACGGACCGGGCCTGCGGGCCACGGCCGCCACGACCTGTCTTCCAGCCGGCAAGGCTCACACAGGGCGCGCTCGCCACACCGAAACAGCAGGGCCCTGAGAGACGGACGGGGCCTGCGGGCCACGGCTCCCACTGCCTAACGTTGCTTTCTGAACCTACAAGAAAACAAGCTCTCTTCCAGCCGTCAAACCTTCAAAAACGCGCCCTTTCCGGCCGTCACAAACATTCAAAAACAGCGCCTTCACACAGGGCGCGCTTGCCACACCGAAACAGCAGGGCCATGAGAGACGGACGGGGCCTGCGGGCCACGGCCCCCACTGCCTAACGTTGCTTTCTGAACCTACAAGAAAAGTAGCTGTCTGACCTAAAACGGCGCCTCCGCCACAGCCAAACAGCAAGGCCCTGAGGAAAGACCGGGCCTACGGGCCACGGCCCCCAGTGCCGAACGTTGCTTTCTGCACCTACAAGAAAACTAACTCTCTTAGCTGTCTTCCAGCCGCCAAGGCTCAAACACGGCGCGCTCGCCACACCGAAACAGCAGGGCCCTGAGGGACGGACCGGGCCTGCGGGCCACGGCCCCCACTGCCTAACGTTGCTTTCTGAACCTACAAGAAAGCTAGCTGTCTGACCTGTCTTCCAGCCGCCAAAGCTCACACACGGCGCGATTGCCACGCCAAAACAACAGGATCCCGAGGGACGGACCGGGCCTGCGGGCCACGGCCGCCACGACCTGTCTTCCAGCCGGCAAGGCTCACACAGGGCGCGCTCGCCACACCGAAACAGCAGGGCCCTGAGAGACGGACGGGGCCTGCGGGCCACGGCTCCCACTGCCTAACGTTGCTTTCTGAACCTACAAGAAAACAAGCTCTCTTCCAGCCGTCAAACCTTCAAAAACGCGCCCTTTCCGGCCGTCACAAACATTCAAAAACAGCGCCTTCACACAGGGCGCGCTTGCCACACCGAAACAGCAGGGCCATGAGAGACGGACGGGGCCTGCGGGCCACGGCCCCCACTGCCTAACGTTGCTTTCTGAACCTACAAGAAAAGTAGCTGTCTGACCTAAAACGGCGCCTCCGCCACAGCCAAACAGCAAGGCCCTGAGGAAAGACCGGGCCTACGGGCCACGGCCCCCAGTGCCGAACGTTGCTTTCTGCACCTACAAGAAGAGTAACTCTCTTAGCTGTCTTCCAGCCGCCAAGGCTCAAACACGGCGCGCTCGCCACACCGAAACAGCAGGGCCCTGAGGGACGGACCGGGCCTGCGGGCCACGGCCCCCACTGCCTAACGTTGCTTTCTGAACCTACAAGAAAGCTAGCTGTCTGACTTGTCTTCCAGCCGCCAAAGCTCACACACGGCGCGATTGCCACGCCAAAACAACAGGATCCCGAGGGACGGACCGGGCCTGCGGGCCACGGCCGCCACGACCTGTCTTCCAGCCGCCAAGGCTCAAACACGGCGCGCTCGCCACACCGAAACAGCAGGGCCCTGAGAGACGGACGGGGCCTGCGGGCCACGGCTCCCACTGCCTAACGTTGCTTTCTGAACCTACAAGAAAACTAGCTGTCTGACCTAAAACGGCGCCTCCGCCACAGCCAAACAGCAAGGCCCTGAGGAAAGACCGGGCCTGCAGGCCACCGCCCTCAGTGCCTAACGTCGCTTTCTGCACCTACAAGAAAACTAACTCTCTTAGCTGTCTTCCAGCCGCCAAGGCTCAAACACGGCGCGCTCGCCACACCGAAACAGCAGGGCCCTGAGGGACGGACCGGGCCTGCGGGCCACGGCCCCCACTGCCTAACGTTGCTTTCTGAACCTACAAGAAAGCTAGCTGTCTGACCTGTCTTCCAGCCACCAAAGCTCACACACGGCGCGCTCGCCACACCGAAACAGCAGGGCCCTGAGGGACGGACCGGGCCTGCGGGCCACGGCCCCCACTGCCTAACGTTGCTTTCTGAACCTACAAGAAAAGTAGCTGTCTGACCTAAAACGGCGCCTCTGCCACAGCCAAACAGCAAGGCCCTGAGGAAAGACCGGGCCTACGGGCCACGGCCCCCAGTGCCGAACGTTGCTTTCTGCACCTACAAGAAGAGTAACTCTCTTAGCTGTCTTCCAGCCGCCTAGGCGCAAACACGGCGCGCTCGCCACACCGAAACAGCAGGGCCCTGAGGGACAGACCGGGCCTGCGGGCCACGGCCCCCACTGCCTAACGTTGCTTTCTGAACCTACAAGAAAGCTAGCTGTCTGACCTGTCTTCCAGCCGCCAAAGCTCACACACGGCGCGATTGCCACGCCAAAACAACAGGATCCCGAGGGACGGACCGGGCCTGCGGGCCACGGCCGCCACGACCTGTCTTCCAGCCGGCAAGGCTCACACAGGGCGCGCTCGCCACACCGAAACAGCAGGGCCCTGAGAGACGGACGGGGCCTGCGGGCCACGGCTCCCACTGCCTAACGTTGCTTTCTGAACCTACAAGAAAACAAGCTCTCTTCCAGCCGTCAAACCTTCAAAAACGCGCCCTTTCCGGCCGTCACAAACATTCAAAAACGGCGCCTTCGCCAGTCTCAAAAAGGACGGTCCTGAAGGACGGGCCGGGCTTGCGGGCGACAGCCCCTAGTCAGTCCTCCTCTAACGCGCTCCCCCTGCTGGCGGCAGGGGTCGGCGGATTCTGAGTAGTTGCTCCAGTGTGGTGGTGGACCACCTTGGGTCAGGTCCTTGGTTCAACAGCTGACTCTTTCTGAAAGACAGCTCCAAGACGAAGAGGCCTATTAGCCTATGATGATCATGCTGAGCCAATGTGGGTGCGGATTGATTATTTGCATTTTTTGCTGACTTTACGAATTGATATTTGTGGTGTCAGGCAGGCACGCAACGTCTCAGGGACCAGCTGAAGCTGCAACAGGAGGCAACACTTATCAACACTTTGCCGAAGGTTTCTGGTTGGAGATGGGCTTGGAACTGGAATGCACATGCAAAAGATGTTCCATTCCAGGTTGCAGCTGCTGAAGTGGCTGAGGATGTATGGCAGAAAAGTCGCTTACAAAGCCACTTGGGTGAAAATGTGCAGCCTTGAGTCTGAACAGTTGGTCGTGAGGTATTATTATGTATTGCCTCGATTTGCTGTACGTTTGTTTTTTAAGGATTCCAGCTCCATGATTTCTCTAACCCTGTGGGATTCAGCTTTCAAAGAGATCAGCCTCTAACACTTCTTGACTCCGCAGTTGCCACAGATTTGATTTCAATGCGGCTTTGTTTGACTGTCTGTATCCTTCGCAGGAAGTAAGCCCAAGAGTATCCATGTGTCTCAGGTGCCAAGCAGTCAATTGCAAAACACCTGGAGGCTGTGACCTCAGCGGTCCTTGATGCCTTGATGTGTTGTTGACTTCATGTTCACTTTCGCCAACTCTGTTTGACATGCCTCAAAACATCTAAAAACTGCAATTTGATCAATTTGGTTGATGAGTTGAGGTCCTCGAGGTTAGGGTTTCAGCTGAACTGCTAGTCTGCGGTAGTTTCGGCTGAAGCACTTTGGCATTTTGGGATTTGAGAGGTACGAGAGGAGCGTGCAGGTATGGACCCACAGCTCCAGTGTCTCTATCGCCGTACCTTCATTACGGTTGAGGAGCCCAATGAGCTGATCGCTGTCAAGCGTGCCAAAAGCTTGCCCCCAGAGAGGAGGGCTATATCTGATGAGGCAACAGAAGCTCAGGTCAAAGAGTCGGAATTGGCGGACTACGTCGCCCGGCTTGCTGGAAATGCTGCTCATTTTTTCGGACAGAGGAGCAACAGGCAGCAAGTTGCAGAAGTCCACTCTGAGACCAAAGCTGATGCCACTGATTCAGATTCACTTGATCCCACTGCCCATACTGCCCCTATTGCCCATGCTGCACAAGAACTTGCTAGTAGAGGAAGTCTGGGACACCCAGATGTGTGCCGGCGTCCCTGCGTCTATTTCAAGTCTGGCAGCTGTGAACACGGCAGTTCATGTGGCTTTTGCCACATGGAACACACCCTACGGCTCCCAAAACTAGACAAGAAGCAGCGTGAGCTCATCAAAAGCCTCAACAAGACCGAAGTGCTTTTGATCATGCTGCGCTATCTCCGATGGGTCGCTGTAAAGCAGGGCTTTGAGCTCCAAGCTACAGAGATTCTCAAGCTTGTTGAGCACGAAGTTCTTGTGGGTCAAGATCAGGCAGAAGCCAACAGGGCCAACATTCCGGAAAAGATGTTCAGTCGGCTCCACAAAACCTTGATCCGAATGCACTTCGCAGGCATTGTCGGTTTGGCATCAAAAGAACAAATTGGAAGCAAACTGAGACAGGACCTCGCTGATGCATTGGAGAGGTTGCGTATATTAGCGCCTCAGATCCGTGTACAGCCGCAGGAATAAAGAGAGCTTGTCGCTTCAGGTGGAACCTCAAGCCATCGTTTCTAGTAATTTGATGTGATTTGTAGGTCAGTCAGCGTCCATGACCAGGATTTGATGAGCACTCTTTGAACTTTTGGCCAAGTGCTGGACAGATTGTAAGTAGGACAACACGAGTCTTAGTTCTTGCTTAGACATGTGTGTTAAAGCCGTGGCTTACACTCATGCCGCCATCAGTTGGCACCCCTTGCAGTTGAGACCTTGACCACCCTCTGATTCAGTCTAGAGACTAGAGGACTGCAGTATCACACTCTTAGAAGGCAGTGTTTGGAGGTTGATGTCCTGATGTCCCCACTGGGTTGATAGGGTAAACATCCTACGTATCTTTGCAAGGTCTTGACCGCAACACCCAGCCGAAGTGCTGCTGGGATGTCTTGTAATCTATGCAGACTTCTCTGTGGCCTGTTTGCACTGCTGTGACGTCGGGTAGGCCAACAGGCGTGCATGATCGGACATAGAACAGAGAAGCTGGAATTCAGAGCTGCATGCAATTTGCCTGGCGCATATCACTTGCTGCTGGTGTTTTTGCCGCTGGACTGCGGAGCTCGCCTTTCAAGGCTCCATCTTGTCTGTCAGCAGTCAAATTCCACCAGTTACATCCAAAGAGGAAGGAAAGAATGTGTTCGAGTGTCAAGGACTGATCCAAGTTTTGCTTCGATCTTTATCGGCTGCTGACATACAAGAAAACATCCTTTCTCGCCTGGCGAAGATATTGTTCAGATCGTTCTTTGGCCACCCGGTGACCTACACCACACTGTGTTCCTTGAAAGACTGCAAAGAGTTGGCGTTTAAGCCACCTAAACCCTTTTGCAGCAGCCAACAAAAAAAATATGCGCTATATTGGAAAGCTGCTTCAAGAAACTGTGGGAGGCACTGCATCCTGCATGAACGTGGAACGTGACGTGTTTCCCTTGATTTTCTTCACGGTCGTTGAGTCATAGCTATCGTAGCTTGCAGGCCATCCGACACCAGACTACTCGTGCAGAAGATGCATCCAGGGAACAGAGCGCTTTGCAAAAGAAGAAGGAACAACTGTCAGAGGCCTGCCACCCGCTGCCCTCTGGGGATCACCCGCGGATTATGTGAACAAGTCTGATCATGTCTGATCTATGTATCCATTTTGGCCTGTTATTTAACTGCCTACGGCAAGCCCGCCGACCAAAGCCTGTGCATTTCTGTTAAGGTTCTTTGGTCTGTGTGTAAAAGGTTCTGTGTGTAAAAGCTTCTGTGCGTACAAGCGCCTGTGTGTAAAAGCGCCTGTGTGTAAAAGCGTCTGTGTGTAAAAGCCTCTGTGTGTAAAAGCTTCGGTGCGTAAAAGCTTCTGTGTGCAAAAGGTTCTGTGTGTAGAAGCGTCTGTGTGTAAAGCTTTTGTGTGTAAAGCGTCTGTGTGTAAAAGGTTCTGTGTGTCAAAGCTTCTGTGTGTAAAAGCTTCTGTGTGTCAAAGCTTCCGTGTGTGAAAGCGTCTGTGTGTAAAAGCTTCTGTGTGTAAAAGCGTCTGTGTGTAAAAGCGTTTGTGTAAAAGCGTCTGTGTGTAAAAGCTTCTGTGTGTAAAAGCTTCTGTGTGTAAAAGCTTCTGTGTGTACAAGCGTCTGTGTGTAAAAGCCTCTGTGTGTAAAAGCTTCGGTGCGTAAAAGCTTCTGTGTGCAAAAGGTTCTGTGTGTAGAAGCGTCTGTGTGTAAAGCGTCTGTGTGTAAAGCGTCTGTGTGTAAAAGGTTCTGTGTGTAAAAGCTTCTGTGTGTAAAAGCTTCTGTGTGTAAAAGCGTCTGCATGTAAACGCGTTTGTGTGTAAAAGCTTTTGTGTGTAAAAGCGTCTGTGTGTAAAAGCGTTTGTGTGTAAAAGCGTCTGTGTGTAAAAGCTTCTGTGTGTAAAAGCTTCTGTGTGTAAAAGCTTCTGTGTGTACAAGCGTCTGTGTGTAAAAGGTTCTGTGCGTAAAAGCTTCTGTGTGTAAAAGCTTCTGTGTGTAAAAGCTTCTGTGTGTAAAAGCGTTTGTGTGTAAAAGCTTCTGTGTGTAAAAGCGGTGTGTAAAAGCGTTTGTGTGTAAAATGTTCTGTGTGTAAAAGGTTCTGTGTGTAAAAGCTTCTGTGTGTAAAAGCTTCTGTGTGTAAAAGCGTCTGCATGTAAACGCGTTTGTGTGTAAAAGCTTTTGTGTGTCAAAGGTTCTGTGTGTAAAAGCCTCTATGTGTAAAAGCTTCTGCGTGTAAAAGCTGTTGTGGTGTGTAAAAGCGTTTGCGTGGAAAAAAACACAAAAAACCCGTCACTCTGCTGGGGGAGAGCTTTTTAGATGGAAGCCGGGAAAGCCTCTGTGTGGAAAAGCTTTTGTGTGTAAAAGCTTCTGTGTGTAAAAGCGTCTGTGTGTAAAAAACACAAAGAATCCTTCACTCTGCTGGGGGAGAGCTTTTTGGACGGAGGCCGGGAAAGCCTCTGTGTGTAAAAGCGCCTGTGTGTAAAAGCTTCTGTGTGCAAAAGCTGCTGTGTGGAAAAGCGTTTGTGTGTCAACGCGTCTGTGTGTAAAAGCTTTGGTGTGTAAATGCGTCCGTGTGTAAAAGCTTCTGTGTGTCAAAGCTTCTGACGAGTCGAAGTCGGAGTACGCGTCGGAGTAGGCGTCAGTAGCAGTAATAGTAGTAGAAGTAGTAGTAGTCGTCGTCGTAGTAGTCGTCGTCGTCGTAGTCGTCGTAGTCGTCGTAGTCGTAGTCGTAGTCGTAGTCGTAGTCGTAGCCGTCGTAGTCGTAGTCGTAGTCGTAGTCGTCATAGTCGTCGTTGTCGTCGTCGTCGTCGTAGTAGTAGTAGTAGTAGTATACCCATGAACATATCTTCTATAAAATGACAGGGGTCAAGGTCTGCTATATTTTGTTTTATGCACCTCCAGCGGCGCTCCTTCCGGGGGCCACTCACCCCACTTTATAGTGATTTCAGGGTTGTAGCTGAAATTTGTCCAGATTTGTTCAGGTTTTTGCAGTGCAGCCATGATCCAGGTTGTTCTTATCCACAGCCATTGATCATTTGATCAAAGATGCCTCGGGTGGGGGCACAACCTCTGAAAGAGAGCCCGGCCCTGTGCCATGTGAAGACATGCTCAGGGAAGATGGGCAAACCATTTCTTTGCATTCCTTCATTTTGGTTCCAATGCCGCCCAGCTGCCACCACACAAAAGGCTGGCTTCAACCTTTCAACCCACTATGAAATTGGTGATTGAGCCAGCATCTGCCATCCTTTTGCATACCTTGATGCCAGCCCTGGCGTTTCAATGGGCCATTTTGGAATAGTGTGTGGCTACTTGTATGATTTCCAAGTGCTGCCACTATAAAATGGCTGGCCTCAACCTTTCAACCCACCATGAAATTGGTGGTTGAGCCAGCACCTGCCATCCTTTTGTATTCCTTGATGCCAGCCCTGGCGTTTCAATGAGCCATTTTGGAATAGTGTATGGCTACTTGTATGATTTCCAAGTGCTGCCACTATAAAATGGCTGGCCTCAACCTTTCAACCCACCATGAAGTTGGTGAATGTTGGTGATTGAGCCAGCATCTGCCATCCTTTTGCGTTCCTTGATGCCAGCCCTGGCGTTTCAATGGGCCATTTTGGAATAGCGTGTGGCTACTTGTATGATTTCCAAGTGCTGCCACTATAAAATGGCTGGCCTCAACCTTTCAACCCACCATGAAATTGGTGGTTGGGCCAGTACCTGCCATTCTTTGTGGTTGAAATTGCCGGGGAAGCTGGGTATTCAACCCAATCGCCAATTTCAAATTGGGTTGGTGGGTTGAAGCTAGCCATTTGATAGTGGCTAGATTTGGGAAATCGTGCAAGTAGCCCACATTAAAACACAGTAGCCCACATTGTGCTATCTTGTGGGCTGCTTGCGCAAATTCCCAAATCTAGCCACTATCAAATGGCTAGCTTCAACCCACCAACCCAATTTGAAATTGGTGATGGGGTTGAATACCCAGCTTTCCAGGCAATTTCAACCCAAAAGGGTGGCAGGTGCTGGCTCAATCACCAATTTCATGGTGGGTTGAAAGGTTAAGGCCAGCCATTTTATAGTGGCAGCACTTGGAAATCATACAAGTAGCCCACGCTGTTCCAAAATAGCCCATTGAGAGGCCAGGGCTTGCATTTGGAGGCATTGGAAGCAAAATCCAGGAATACAAAAGGATGGCAGATGCTGGCTCAACCACCAATTTCATGGTGGGTTGAAAGGTTGGGGCCAGCCATTTTATAGTGGCAGCACTTGGAAACCATACAAGTAGCCACACACTATTCCAAAATGGCCCATTGAAACGCCAGGGCTGGCATCAAGGTATGCAAAAGGATGGCAGATGCTGGCTCAATCACCAACTTCATGGTGGGTTGAAAGGTTGAGGCCAGCCATTTTATAGTGGCAGCACTTGGAAATCATACAAGTAGCCCACGCTGTTCCAAAATAGCCCATTGAGAGGCCAGGGCTTGCATTTGGAGGCATTGGAAGCAAAATCCAGGAATACAAAAGGATGGCAGATGCTGGCTCAATCACCAACTTCATGGTGGGTTGAAGGTTTAAGGACAAGTAGCCCACACTATTCCAAAACTGCCCATTGAAACGCCAGGGTTGGCACTGGGCGGCATTGGAAACAAAATGAAGGAATGGCAAAATCAAAATGAAGGAATGGCAACATGGTTTCATTCTAAGTGAGGTGCTGAAATCTGTTGACTTGCGCCTTGACCATTTGTAAAGGGAACCAGTCGTTTTATAGAGATTTTATAAGTAATTTCCAGGTGTTCTGGGGTCAGGCCCCCTCAAAATATAGTGTTTTCATTTGGGTTGGGGCCACTCATTTTATAAGCAGTGTCTAGTCATTTTATAGTGAAAACCATTTTATGTCTATAAAATGGCTTGCAGGACCCCCTCCCGTGTATGTTCATAGGGATGTTGTAGTAGTAGTAGTAGTAGTAGTTTTTTTTAGCAGTAGCAGCAATAGTAGTCGTAGAGAGAAGGGGAGGGGGGGTTCGGGGTGAGGGGGGGGTGGGGGAGGGGGGGTGGGGGAAGGGGGGGTGGACCCCATTCAGACGAAGCAAAGATGTGCGGGGAGAGAACAAAGGAACAAGTACAAGCCAATCAAGTACAAGACAAGAACAAACAGGCCGGCGGATTTCCACTTGCTTTGTACTTATCATGTCATGTGATTCTGGAGGAACACAAAGCTGCTGAAACTGAAGAATTTGAAGAGTATCGGCGGCGCTGTCACTTGGAGACCGAGCATCAGGCGTGCCATGCTTGTTGATCAATTATAGGTCTGAGGGGCGCGCGCGCGCGGCGCTCGCGGCGCCCGCCCGACCGACCGCCCTCCCGCCCGCAGAGACAAAAGAGGGCAAACGAGAGAGAGAGAGGGAGGGAAGAGGGGGAAACATGGATAGGAGAGAGAGACAAGACATAGTTACAGAGGGAGAGAGGAGGGAGGAGAGTCGAGAGGGAATGTGAATATGTTGATATTTTTATATATTTATATTTACGGATAGGCCGCCTGGTTCGCCGTCGCCTCCAAAGCCAACTTTTCATCAGTTCAGCCGCGGCAGCTTCTTTGCTTCATAGCAATTTGCAGGGCTAGTTCGCACGATTCCTTTGGAACATGCGTCTCTTTACACCTGCAGTGCTTGGAGGACTGTTTGCAGCCCTGGTTGTCTGTGAAAACGTAGCAGCCATCTAGCATCAACGTAGCAACCCCACCTTGAAAACGTAGCACCGATCCAGCATCAACGTAGCAACCCCGCCCTGAAAACGTAGCAAGGATCTATCACCAACCTAGCAACCCCACCATGAAAACGTCGTTACCACAGCGCCGATAGCCAGCCCACCCTAACGACGCAATGGCTCAGGACGCAGCCTCTTGGAACATTATTGCACCCCCCCAACCCCCCAAAAAACCACCCCCCATCCCAAACCCGCCTCAACATTGTCGTTAACAGCGGCCGCGAACCAGGCGGCCTGAGGGTACATTTGTATATTATGTATATACTTTATATTATATATATATACATACTGTAAATATTAGATATATGATAATATATATATATATATTGTATATATATATATTTAGATATATATCATATATATACATATATAATATAATACATTATATATATATATATATAGAAAAAACATAGTATTTAAAATAATAAAATGTATTATATAATATACTATATATAATATAGTGTATAATTTAAAATATTCAATAAATATTATTTAAGATAATGTCAAATATTTACTATATAATAATATATAATGTATAAACATAAGCACTATATAGCAATATATAATATATAATTTTATTCATAATATACAAAAATATATAATGATATATAATAATTAATCATAATAAACAATAATATATTAAAAAAAATATGATAATGTATGAATGTAATATATGTATGTATGTATGTATGTATGTATGTAATGTAAAGTAACGTAACGTAACGTAACGTAACGTAATGTATGTATGTATATAGTAATATTCAATATTTTATAATAGTAATATTTAATAATATATAATAATAGATAATAATATATAATAATATTTAATAATAGATAATAATATAAAGCAATTTTCATAATATATAATAATATTTCATACTATGTAATAATGTTTAATAATATATTAAAAATGGGGTTCAGTCAACATTATTTTGAGATCATCCAAAAATTGCGACGAAGAACCAACTTTTTTGTCAAAGATGGTTTTGGAACTTCGCAGATCAACGCCAGTCTTCCGGTATCAGGCAGGGGTGTCCTTTGTCCCGTTACCTCTTTGTTATTGCCATGCCATGCGTAGACATTGAAATACGACTCAATTCAAGTCGTCGGGTACAAAACGGCAGAATTCCAAACCTGGATTTCGACATGCTTTATTATGCTGACGATACGATTCTATTCTCAACAGACAACAGAGCTTTAAACGAACTGCTCAAGCTCGCTGAAACTATTTCCACCAAACATGGTCTGCGACTAAACAAAGACAAGTGTGTGGTAATCCAAATGAATAATGATGGCATGGTCCACTTCGAAAGCAACGAACCGCTCCCCAAACAATTTGAAGCAGCTTATCTAGGAAAAGGGATTAACAAAGAAGCTAACATACAACACGAAATCCTAAACAAAATGCAGGAAGTACGGAAAACTTGGTACAAACTTTTGTCGTACTGGAAGGCCACAAATGCAAATGTCAAATGGCAGTTGATTATATTTGATGTGGTGATCAGATCTAAAATGTTGTACGGTCTTGAAACAATCCATTTGACGGGTGCTATGTTAAAGAAAATTGATGCCTTCCAAATGCGGTGTTTGAGGAGAATCCTCAAATCCCATCGACTTTCATTGATCGACGAAATTTCAACAAAGTCGTTTTGCAAAGATGTACAGCAATTCTTTACGCAAATCAAGGCGACCAACGGGAATTTGAATTGTTCAGCCAATCTTATTTACACAGGAAATCCAAATTATTGGGTCATGTTTTAAGAGCAGGCCCAGAAGACCCTATGCGCCAAATATCTTTTCAGCCAAACAATGCTATTAGGGTACCTTATGGCAGAAAACGAGTTGGTCGCCCAAAGCAAAATTGGCTGCAGTATGCAAAAAAACATACGTTTGAACATATTTTGCGTCGTCATGATTATTTGGCCATAAGCAGAACATTTTAGGTTGCGACACGGACCTTCGGCTACGCCCACGCCCTGCGTTGACCTTCGACTAGTTTTCATTGCAGGGTACGGCGGGGTAAAATATATAATAATATACCAGTAGTACCGCACAAGGCGGCGGCGGAAGTTTCAAAAATAGGAAACCTATAGGAGAGGTTGGTTGTTGTAAATCACGGATGGTAGAGCGAAGCCACTGATGGACAGAAAGGTGATTGGATTCT